GAGCAATACGGGGGGGGGGAAAAAAAGCTGAGACCCAGAGGGACCATTCACATTCACAGCACAACATTCCTGCAGTCGTTGGTATGCTCCTGCCTACTTACTGGTAATTTATATTATACTGCCTAAAACTAAAAGAGGAAAGAAGCGCTGCTAATTATAACAAGGTGCTACACACACAGCGCAGTGCCACTGCTGTTCCTCACAGGTCAAGGGAAGGCATCCCGCGTTCTTCTGCTCAAAAGAGGCTAAATAATGCAGGAACTCCGTTTGCAAAATCATACAAGCAAAACAAATGTCATTTTTCATGCACAGAGCAGTTACATTTCCTCACGCACACAATCTTTAATTATTAAGGGAACTGGGATGGCAGGAATAAAGCTGCCAAAACAACGAGAGGCTGAGGACAGCTTCTGTATTCAGACTCACAACCAGTGTTGTACACAGAGGTTGCAAGACACGAGCAGAAAGCAACACCAAGTGACCTGTGAGAGAAACCCAACGTTACACAAAGCCCTTCGATGAGTGCCACTGCTGGTCTTTATCCAAACAGAGGCACGCCTGCGTGTGCGAGCAACCTCTGCCTCCAGCATCCACAGGGTTACGTTTCGTAGTGTTGGGAACCAAGCTGGTGCTGGACCAGTTGTAACACCGCGTCCAACCCTGCCAAAAGGGCTCCTAACGCTGAAGTCGGGGGATTAAAAGCCCTGGTCAGAGCATGTTTTCCTCTGCCCAGGTTAAGAGCTGTTCAATAGGAGTATAACAGAAGCTGTAAATCTCCTCTGCCTGCGGAGCAGCGAGCTGACACCAAAGACACGGAGCTGTCACGGTGCAGATAACCGGTACGCTGGGCAGGGAGCACCCAGGTGCACATAATGCATCACCCCGCAGCGCTCGAGTTGAAAAACAAAAAAATAAAAATTTAAACCAAAATAAAACAGAAACTGGCCACGCTGCAGACTGCCTCCAACTTTACATTAAATAGGCACAAACTTATTACCTGCTTCTTGCTTAAAAACAAGCTACAAACAACTCATCTTGAGATCCCATACATGCAATAACCAGCACTGGCCCTACCCATTAGCGAATCCTAAACTTTTCAACGTTTCTCTTTTGCTTCAGTGAGGCTGCAAAACCATTCGAGGAGCAGGATTTGGGGCCTTGTGCCTTTTCTTCTCCAGAAAAGCCTCCAGGACTGCCCTGTACACCCCTTCTCCTTTCACCCTCTGCCCTGGCACTGAGGCTCAGCCCCTGGCTCTCCAGAGCCACCCCTGCAGCCAGCACTGCGGGTGAATGCCCCCGACATTTTAGGGCCAGACCCCGCTGCCCTGCACACAGCCACGCTGCACAGAGGTAAGAAACGAGCCCCAGGGGGATGTGAATTTCAGCGGGGCAGATGGATGACAAAACCCTCCCCTTGTTCACCTCATCAGGGTGCTGATGATTTCTAAGCACAGGAGAGTCAGAGGAACAGAAAGGAGATCGGCTCCAGCACGAAGCATGGGAAGGGAACCAAAGCCAGTCCTGCGGCTACTTCCGAATTCGGGCAAAGCACACCCAGCACAAACGGCCACTGGCTGAGAAAATTACAGAGAGGAAACCAACCAGAACGAGCAACACGTCAATATTGGGAAGAGGCTAAAATTGTAAGGGCAGCCATAGTCCAGACCTGACAACCCTCTGTATCCAAAAGCCCACAGCCAGGTTTCGTCATTAAATGTGAAGTGACTGCACGTGATGACTACCTCCCCTCCTTGTAGCTCTTTCTGCAGTCCTGTCCTATTCGGCATTAGCCGAAGCTTCATTAAAACAGACAAATGTTACAGGTCCAGCTTTTGCAGTGCCTCGCAGAAGGAAAAGGTAGAGATTTGAGCTGATTAAGACGCTGCTTAATCCAATAATTGAAGCGTAAAAAGGGTCCGAAGGTTTGATCAACTGAATTAACAGCTTCACTTTTGATCTAGCAGAGAGAAACCCACAAAGATCAAAAGCCGGTTTTATGTAGCCCCTTAGTATCTACAACTTGCCCTGAGATGTCAGCTCTTGGCACCTGTGTTGGACACGAATCACAAACCCTTATTACGCCTGCCAAGACCCCTGTGAAGAGGGGTCTGAACGCACATACCCGAACAAATCAGTGTGGTCAAGACCTGGGTGGACGTTGTAAGCACACAAAGAGCACTCCAGAAACACCAGGGAGAGCCCAAACCCTCGGTGAGCTGACCGGGCAGGCAGCTGCACCCTGACAAACGCCTCCCCCACCGCGAGCAGATCTCACGATGTGCAGGCAGAGCGCTGCTTTTCCCAGGGCTTCTATTATTTTAGCTTTATAAAATTAGTGTGCTAAGTTAGTTTACGGCCTGCCAGTTGGCTGCGTTTCAGAGCTATTGCAGCCCACACAGCTCGATTTTTTTTTTTAAGGCATGGAAAAAAAAAAAGTGTATTAAAATGTCTAAACAACGCCATAATCTTGATTAAAGCTAAATTACCCCAATCCTTTTCCTATTAGGAAGGAATTAGCATGCTAATCCCACCATTCTGACAACTGACACGTTTTTAAGGGAGAATTCAAGACGCCTTTATCCCCCCCTCACCACTAACGTGTATTTTATGCAACGTGAGCATTCACAGCACTGGCGCCAGCAAACACCACCCCTCCTTCCACAGCAAGTTACAGCCCCAGGCTGGTTTCCCCAAACCCCGTTTCCCTCAGCAGCCCTTCAGCTACACCTCTGACCCTCTGCCAAGCTTCAAACCAGAGGTCAGTAAGGTTTTTGCAGTGCAAACGTGGAAAACACCACAAGTGCTTGGCGAGGAAGGGCAGCACGTACCTCTCGCGTGCTCGGCTGAGCAGCTCTCCACAAACAGAAGCAGCGATGGGAGCGTTGGCACGGGAAGGTGCTGGCACACAGCACGTGCTGCCATCAGCCTGAGCCCCCAGGATACGAAGCACAAGGCCTAAATTGGCTCCTCTTAAAGGCAGCCTGTCACAGACAGGCCTCTGTGTCACAGGTGAATCAGGCGGGTACCAAACCTGTCCTCGGCAGCAGCTGCCCAGTGACAACCTTGACCCTCAGCAGCCCAGAGGGGTGAGACCTCCCCTGCCGCTGCCCTGTGCTGAGCTGAGGTTGTCACAAAGCCCAGGGCACAACGGCAGCCCCAGCAGCTCTTCTGACACAGCGCGCCCTACCTCAGCCATCTCCTCAGTTTAAAGCAGTATCCTCCAGCAAAGAGGAAGAAAGGGGATTAAATTCTCTCCCCATCCCCTGCAGTTTTCTCCTTCCTGGCCATCTCAGCATCCTCCCGGACAGAGGAGGCCTCTCCTCTCCCAGCCACCTGCATCCAGGACATACCTTGGCCCCGACACCTGGACCTGTCCTCTCCCCTCTCTGCTCCAGACAATCCCGGACTCCCTGCAGCCCCACCACCACCGCATCACCCCCACGGCAGTTTTATGCTCACAGTCTGCCTCACTTAGAAGCCTGTTTCCAAGCCAAACTGTCCCTCTGGCATCCCTGAGTGGCAACCCACAGCCCTGATCCCATCCCACAGCCCTGAGGCAGCTCAGCTCTCCGCCAGCAGATCCAAGCCCTGCACCTAGAGAGGAACCACCCCTGGCTGTGACTGCTGGGCCAGCACCACCTGCAGCAGGCGCAGGCTCCCCCTTCAGCTCAATTCCTTTCCCTAACACTCCCCAGGCTCTGGCATGCTCCCATTAGCCAAGCAAGGAGCAGTACCCATAAACCTTGAACCAACACTACCAGACTGGAGCTGGCCAGCACGGCAAAGCGGGTTTGCTGGGATGCTGGGTGAGCAGAGCTCTGTGCAGCTCCTCCTCTCCGCTGAGCATCGAGGCTGCAGGTAATGTTGTCATAACTACGCCTGTGTCTGCAATCAAGTGCGAGCTCTTACTCACCTGTCTTTTTATTAGATAAAAAGCCTTTCGAAATTGGTAAATTAATGTCTGCACGCCAGGCTTGCAGCCCTACAGACATGAGCAGAAATCCTAACGGGGTTTGTTCCGGACTTCCTTTGCTGGTAATAACCCCACAGAAACGGGCAAACAATGACAAATGCCACATCTCATCCCTACTGTGGATTTGGGCTTCTTTTTTAATTTTATTGTAGGGTATTGGTTTCTCATATAGAATTCGGTGAAGATCTTTTTAAACGTTATGGTTATAGCAGTAACAGAGCTTAAACTTACTTTTTATGGAGTATTTCTAGAATCCCCTCCAAAACAGCAGATCGCCAGCTCCCGTGGTTGCCATTAAATGTCAGCGTTTGACAGTTTCCATACAGCAGCATCTAAGACAACAGTTTCTGCCTGCAGTTAGGACAGTAACTGTTGGAAATTTGTGGTGGCTGTTGGCAAACAGTGGCTTTTTTAAGGCAGGCTACTGGAGATGCTGATGTCTTGAAGAGCAAGGTTTGGGGGTGTCTTCCTCTGTCTGTGCAAAACCAGAACACGCTGGTGAAACCTGCCTTTTTTTGTTGTTTTTTACACAGAAATGGGAAATACTCGGAAGAAGTTACTTGATTCACAACCTAAACCTTATTTTTATTTTTGTCACTTACGCAGGACAAACGTTGCCAAAAGTTCATTGAAGTAACATTTTTTTCCAAAGGAATCTCAGACAGATGAAGGTCGTTCTCTTTCCTTGCAGGAGCTGGCAGTCGGTCACACAGCTCCTCAGCAGCACTAAAGGATGAGCAAAATCAGGGTGTTCACTCTTTTTATACTGCTCTCTCCTTTTCCCTTTTCCGGTTCCTTATTCCAAGTGTGCAATAATCCCAATAAATTCTCAGCAGCAGACCTGCTTCCTAGCCTGCAAAACCTCGAGATTTCAGCACACCACCATTCCTTATTGTAACAGAAACAAATACACCTTTTTTTTTGGCCCAACAAGGAACAAATGTACATCCACGCATGAGCACGAGCCAGCAGACAAGAAGACTAATATGGGATGTGGAGGAAAAGGACATACAGCCGTTGATCTTACCACCGCCCAGCTGCTCTCCAGCATCCCAGGAAAGTCTCCAGTTGTCTCTAGCAGGGAAAAGTGTCTCGGTGTAGTCTTGGGGACCTGCATACACAGACATAGGCAAACCTGAAACTGTGTGCCCCTCGTGTTCTGGCTCTTTCCTCCTCAAACGCAGCCCTCATCCAGGTAGCCAGATTGCAGTGTAGGCTGGCTGTGCCGTTAGTCAGAGTGGCAAGGTGCTAGAAATCAGATGTTGGTAAACTTTGAAGTGCCGTGCACGCATTGTTTTCGGTACACAATGAGAAGTGCCATAAGTTTAACATGCAAATAACCCCCTCATCCACCTACAAACCTCTCCGAGCTTTGTCTGAAAGAGGAATCGAGGGCTGACACCTGTCCTTTGGCAAGAGCTCCAAGTCTCAAGAGCTTTGCAAAGCTACCTTTAATGTTTGTGGCATACTTCAATGGGATTTCGTGCTTGCACTTGTGACACCGCAGCTGAATTCAAATAGCCTGCCAGAGCAGCAGCTAGGGCAAGCAATTTCTTCTGATGCTCAGAAAGCAAAGGTATTTTACAATGTAAGAAGCGAGTCCCAATTTAATGACTCCTCGGTGTTCCTAAAAGAATTGCAATTTTGAGAATGTATGAAAGAAAATATGCCGGACATGCTAATTGCATCTCCTGTCCTCAAAGCCCAGAAGGGAAAGCAATTATCACATGCACTCAACAGGCTACAGCACCAAAATACCCATCAGCATAAGGCAGCAGCTTCGGCAGCACATCAGCTAATGTCTGTTGCCTTTGTGCAAAGAGCAGTTGAAAAAAGTTTTCTCAAAGAGACAGCACCGAGGGAAAATACGAGTGACTACAGCTGGCATCGTGCGCTGCAGCTGAGGACAGGACAACGCGTTCTCTGAAGAAATACACAAGAGGAAAACCAAAGTTGTCTCTTCCTGAGCAATGTCCCATCCCTGCTGACCACAAACACATTCAAGGACTTCTCAGAGTCATGAGAGAGGAGGGCAGAGACGGTCAAGCAGCTGCTGGTGCTGGGACCAAGCCGTCTCCTTCATCACACGTGTGCCCTGCCCAGTCCCATCCTGTACATCCCAGCCTGGCTCTCCAGGGCTCCAGGAAATAAGTGTTGTGCATGTGATGAGAGCAAAGTGGGCAGAAGCTGGATTTATTACGAGGAGGAGCTTGAAAAATTGCAAGCAGCTCTTCAGACAAGAAACAGCCAGTTCTGGTGAAGAAAATGAGTGCCCAGCTTGCTTTTGGACCAACCCTGCTTATGACAAGCACTGCAGTCCAGTTGCTTTTAATTTATTCTAATGACTTAAAAATGCTCGGCTCCACACCAGCCCTGCCACAGGGAAGGCGATGGAGAGCTGAGTGAGAGCACTGTGCTGAACACACCTCGACTTTGTCTGCATTCACCTAGCAGCCCCAGCTCCTCTGATTTCAGGCAAGCAGCTAGGTGGGCAGACCGCATCCTGCTGACATTAACATTCGTGTTTGTCTCAAGCTGAAGTTTCCAGGCCCTCCTGCTCTGCTTACACACCTCCTAATGGATGCGACAGCCCGGCCAGCGTGCCGGCACCGCTGTGCTTTGTTCACAGGGGGCCCCATCTCGGCGGATTCCACCCACTCACACAATCCTGCGAAAGCGAAGCATTTCTTTCCGATCTGTCAGCTCAGAGGGACACTCGCAGAGCAGATGTGCTTAGGAAGCATCCGCGTGCGGAGCAATTTGTCACTACCGCCCTGCCCGCTTTGGGCAGTGCAATGAATGCTGTAACTTCCACGTCGAGTTGAGTTTTTGTCTTTCTAAGATTTAAACTACCTGCTCTTTCCAACCAAGGAGACTTCTCAGTCTCTAGCACGTCAGATTAGCTGGCCTGTTGAAGACAAAGTGTGTTTTATGGAAACCAACAGACCCAAGCATCCTTTATCCTTACCCGTAAATCCGAGACAGGACTTGAAAGATTTTGACGTTTTACAAAAGCAGTTCCACAGCAGAGAAAGAGCCCTGAGCAGGCCACAAATATCCAAGTGTACACTTTTCTATCCAGCAGCCAAAGCTGGAGGATTACCTTTCACCTCAAGAGTAATTTTTCAAGAAAAAGCTCCCTCTTTCTTTTTTTCTCCTTGATCACAGGAGAGATGCTGGATTGCCACAGATGGCCGTTGGTTTTCATTTTGTGCATTTTACACAGAACATTTTATAGATCGTACTAGCTAATCAAATTACCCAAATTAATTTCAAATTCAAATGCTGAGCTGCTCCACCTTCCCCACGCACCGTCACTGCGGGGGCAGCACGGTTCGAACAGACTGGGGGAAGGAGGCTCTTTGGCAGCCTGGTCCCAGAGCAGGTGCTGCCAGGGGAGATGTTTTTAGGGCTTCACACTCGGAGGGCTGCCTGCCACCGCTGCATGGGGAGCACAACAGCAGACAGCATCAGCTCCCTGCTTTCTGTACAATACGAGTAGTATTGCCTATTTATTTCACAAGGGCTTTTTCAGGATTGTTCACATTCATGTATTGTTCTCCTCTTCCGAGGCTGCCTTTGCAGGTGCTGGTGTTCAGACGCACGCCTGGGAAGGTGGCAGATAACAAAGCGGCAGGCACGGGGCACCTCGCAGGGCAGGAAGATAACTCACCTCGCTGGAGGATGGCTGCAACGGCATTAAAAACGCTCCCTCTGCAGAGTCAGCACAGCGGCACTTCTAAAGGAAACTTTAAGAAGGAGCACTTATAACCCACTCCCCCCACGAGAGCGTTACTTGAAGGAAATAATGGAAATAAATGGAAAATAAAAACGCTCCCCAGAAGGTACTGCGCTGGGTACTTCAGTCACTGCTCTCCGCACGCACAGCCCTGATCTTTGTTCAGCTCAGAACTCAATAATGTTTCCAAGCATTATTCCAACAACCAAAGTGGGTTTTAAACTTTCCACAACATGAAGAAAGGCTGCGGCGGGGTGAAATAGAGGACGGCAGGAGTACAGGAAAGAGTGGGGGAAATACAACTGTGCTGTCTGCTGCTCCTGGCCAGCTGCACAAGCCCAGGGTGCTGCAGGCAATCCAGCAGCACCACGCAGAACCCAGCACTGCAGCAGCCCAGAATCTTTTTCCTCTCCCTGAAGCAGAGAAGATAAAAAGAAAATGATACAGGGAAGGGTGTGTGGTTTTTTGTTTGTTTGTTTTAATGCTAAGGAAATAGTTTGTAAATTATTAGAAACAAAAATAAACAACAACCAACCCAGCTAACACCCTTCTCTGTCTCCCCACTGTGAATAAATACATTTCACATCTACTCGTGCTGTTCCTCACTGACATGCCCTTTCTCCCCTAATACAATCATCACTGGTGCGACCTTTGGAGTTTTCCATACAAGCTGTTGCCAATTCTTTTGAGCACTTCATCTCTAAATGCAAATGCTTTGCTAAGCATCCTACAGTTAGGTCTTTTGGTATAAAGCCACTTTGTGTCTACATTAAAATAAAATTCAACACCTTTTTAAGTGTTCATTCCTATGTATACAAACAGCAACTTCCATGAAACACGACAGGTTCCTCTAGAAGGTTAGGAAGTTCTGTAAATTGATGGATTGCTGACATTTGAGAGCTGGCATTTGAAGCTATTTTGAAAAATAGCTCGGTTTGGGTGGTTTTGGTGTTTGTTTGTTTGTTTTTTTGGGGGGGAATTGATTGTTTCCACTGTTGTCTAATTTTTCCATCAGAATAAAAGCTCAACTGCCCACAGCTTTTGGTGTGTTATTTTAACAGGACTAGAGCAAACAATGAAGAAAAGCTTTATGAAGTTTGACCGAATCATTACCCAATACTCAGAGCAAATGCTGCACTTGAAACATCTCAACAGGGACCAACTTCCAGAACAAACAAGCCCAAGCCCCTAAGCTACTTTTAGAAGTTTTAACCCTGAACCTTCTCCCTGTCTCCAAGAGGTGCAGCATTCCCACCTCCCACCTGTGCACGGAGCAGCCCCAGGCCCACAGACCTAGCAGCAACAGGTCTGTAGAGAAGGGAGCAGCACCAGCAGGGCAAAAATCAGTCTGGGTTGCCTTCTGGAGCAGAAGAGGAGTTGGCGTTTTAACCACACCATTATTACCGTCAAGAGATGCAGCATCACCACCTGTCTTACATTTTTCTTCCTTCAGAGAGAGAAGATGCATACATACAGAAAAACAACTGTCTTAAAATATTAGGTGCAATGCTGCTGGTGGACTGCTACAAAGATGATCACGAGTTCCTTACATCACGCCCTTCGTGAGACACCCAACAGCCAATATATCATGTGGGTCAACCAGACAGCTTCCGAAGCTGCCCCTCACCAGTTTGTTTCACCACAACTCACCAATTCCTGCCATCTTTCCAGCTAGACTTCCCCAAAAACCTGTTGAGAGTTTGATTTTCCCCTGAACAAAAACTTACATAATGCCTGATGATTTTTTTTCCTTATTCATTAATCGTGATGAACACATCATGAAATTCTCTAATGTATTCATTATTCAATATTACTCAAACATTTTGTCAGCAAATAATTCTTGGTTTATAGGTCATTCGAATTGCAAATTGTAACTATTACAGTCATAGTTTGCTGCTTATTTTTTAACATATGTAATTTATTTAACTTAAGTAATGCATACAGCCAATTTAATCAATGTGCAGTGAATTTCAATTTGTGTGTTTGACTTTAATATTCTTAGTTACATAAATCACGCACTCGGGAAACTGAAAATAATAATATGGGACTTAAGAGAATAATTGAAGCCATATGAACTAGTTTCATGGAAAACATGAAAATGCATTCGTATATACAAGCTAATCTGACTTCCACTTTACAAATCCTATGAACATTTGCAACTCTTTTTTCTCTAATTCACTCTGATACAGTTAATTTGTAACAAAACCCATGCCAGCAGCTACAGCAGACATTGCCAGATTGCTTTCCACTTCCTCCTCTGTATCCTTATTTAGGATATTAAATAACCCCAGTCGCTATTAACTTTTCTTTATCCAGGATCTTAGAAGGTATCTGTCCACCACATATAGCAAAAGACCTTCAACTTCCACAGC